TTTGCCCTACAGCCAGTGAAAACCCAGCCACCGTCCCAGCCAAAGCCTGGGCTGGCATCTGCAGGACCCAGAGATACCAGTCCATGAGCCCTGGGGTGCTGGCATCCCAGGAAGGCAAGCCTGCAGGCTGGCAGCCCCAAAGCAGTGTGCCCTGCCCCCCCCAGGCATCCTGTACCAGTAGCGGGGGCTAGTGCTGCTTTGCTGCCCTCCATGAGGCCGGGGGAGCTGTAGTGTGGCTCTTGCTAAACGAGGCAAAGAAACAAAGACTGCCAGGGGATGCAGGCATTCAATAGGAGCCTCAATTTCCCCTCCTGTTTGCACCTTGCCTGGCGGGAGCAAGACATCCCAGGGGGCTGGGGCCCATACCTGAGTTATTACTGTAGAAGGCCCTAACAGGGAAACAGCCTTGCCTGTATAAGCACCATGAGGCAGATTTGAACCTGGGCCTTCTGGCGTATAGACACCTCTACCACTTCAGCTATGACGCCAGCTGGCTCCCCGCTTAGGCTATAGAGCTCCCTTGTTCTTAGCTCGCGCTGCAAGTCAATGGTCACCAACCACTAGATTGGGAGCGACTGGTAGAGCCTGGTGCCTTTGACAGGTGATCCTGACTGGTTTGGCCTGGAGGCTGTCAAGTGCCGGCATTTCATCTGCCCCTCAGCACTGCCGTGCTGTGCCTGCCCTCTGCCTTGGAGCCCCCCCCTCCCAAGAGCCTCTTGCTTGCTGTGCAGGGCACAGGAAGCAGAGGAGGGGATGCTGATGTCAGGGTGTCCTTCCCGTCCACCCTGTACCACACCATCACCACAGAGCAGAGAGGGGGGCAGGGATGGAGAGAGTTTGCTGGCTGCTTTTGGGAGAGGTGCAGGGCCAGAGTACAGACTGTATGCCCTCTTCCCCCACACCTCTGCCCCCCAGCCTGATCAAAGGAAGGGAGGACAGAGTGAGCAGGGTAGGGCCTCGGCGAAGGGGCAGGAAGGAGTGTTCGGGCTTGAAGTAGATCCTGGAGTGCACTTAAATTCAAACTGTGCTCTCGTGCTTCAAAAGGTTGGAGACCACTGCTGTAAGTGCCACTCCATGGGCCAGTGAACCACACTAAGGCTACGTCTACACTGGCGGCTTCTTGCACAAGAACACTTTTGCAGAAGAATTCTTGTGCAAAAAAATCTTCCACAAGAGCGTGTCCACACTGCCATTTGTGCAAGAGCATCCATGGCAGTGTGGACGTTCTCTTGCACAAGAAAGCGCCGATGGCCATTTTTACCATACAGGCTTCTTGCGCAAGAAATTCACGTTGCCCGTCTACGCTGGCTTCTTCTGGAAGAGCTCTTGCACAAGAGGGCTTATTCCTCATGGCTGTGTCTAGACTGGCAAGTTTTTCAGCAAAATCATCTGATTTTGTGGTAAAACTTGCCAGCTGTCTACACTGGCCGCTTGAATTTCCGAAATAGCATTGACGATCTCCTGTAAAATCATCAGTGCTTTTCCGGAAATACTATGCTGCTCCCGTTTGGGCAAAAGTCTTTTTCTGAAAGACTTTTGCGCGAAAGGGCCAGTGTAGACAGCATAGTATTGTTTTCCGCAAAAAAGCCCCGATCACGAAAATGGCGATCGGGGCTTTTTTGCGGAATACCGCGTCTAGATTGGCCATGGACGCTTTTCTGCAAAAAGTGCTTTTGCGGAAAAGCATCCTGCCAATCTAGACGCGCTTTTCCGAAAATGCTTTTAACGGAAAACTTTTCTGTTAAAAGCATTTTTGGAAATTCATGCCAGTCTAGACGTAGCCCATGGGGCGAGGAATAACTCTTCCGGAAGAAGCCCTGTTTTACAACGCTGTGCTGTAAATTTACTTGCGCAAGACCGCGCGTGCAGTGTAGACAGCCGGCAAGTTTTTGCATAAGAACGGCTGGTCTTGCACAAGAAACTGCCAGTGTAGACATATAGGTGTGCGGGTTACACCTGTATCTCGTGCGATCCCTTTCTCTAGGTCATTTATAAATAAGTTGAATAGAATGGGTCCCAGTATAGACCCTTGGGGGACCCCACTAGTTACCTCTCTCCTTTCTGAAAACTTTCCATTTATTCCTACCCTGTTTCCTGCCTTGTAACCAGTTATCCATCCATGAAAGGACCTTCCCTCTTATCCCACGACAACTTTATATTATTGTGGTAAGGGGCATGAGAGCGCCCCCTCCAGGGTGGAGGTTGCTAGTGCCAGGTGTGTTTCAGGGACCCACGCACACTCCAAAAGCAGCCGAGCGCTTTATTGATGACGCTTGCTGACCAGGAAATGACACACGTGCAAGAATGTTTTTAGAAACCACAACCACCCAACTTCCCAGCCTCAGCGCTTGCCCTGCTGCATTGGGCTAATGCAGGGTACCCCAGCGAGCCCCCAGCATGCACACTCCCTCCTCCCGTCTCAAGGGGAGGCTCAGGGAACGTCTGAAACTACCCCCTCGGGGCTTGGCCAACTGACGATTTTAACAGGGAGCTAAGGTCACCTCTGCAGCCCACCCCCCCTCCCCAGGCTAACCGAGCCAGCCAGCTGCTCCTCAGCACAGAGGCTGAGCTGCGTTTGCCTAAGGAGCGATGCAAACGGCCGGTGTGTTGCCTCCCTCTAGCCGCTGGTCCACCCCCAGGCTTGGCATGCTGGGGTCGGCAGCGCCAGCTGTAGTGGGGGAGGGGGCAGGGGTGCAATCCAGACACCACAGCCTGGCCTGGCCTGGCCTTTGGCCCAGGATCACAACACGGCCAGAGGCAGCCGAGCAGGGCATCGCTGAGGGTACTAACGAGGCTCCAATGAGCCTAACGAATCTATATCCGGGCTCTGCGATCGGCGCCCCCGCCTGCACGGCCGTCAATGGCCGTGACGCCCTCATCGGACGCCCAGGCCAGCAGCGCCCTAGGCGACCACCTACTCTGCCTAGGCTCACGGGCTGCCCCTGGCTCCAGCTACTCTGTGCTCCCAGGTCTAGCTCAAGAGCCCAATGGCTCCACCGCCGGGGAGCTCAGAGCCCACATTCCAGCTACGCCAGCCTGGCGGAAGGACCTTCCGGGAGACAGCCCGGCCGTTCTGCGGCACCGGGGGAAGCGGGAGGAAGGAACTAAGCTGGCTCGGGACAGGGGTGACGCTGGGCCGAAGGGAGGCCGGAGCCGGTGAGGCCTCCGCAGGCCTCCCGTTGCCAAGGCAAAGTGGGTTCTGTCTAGCCTGCGATTTGGGAGCGGACACCAGGCCAGGGCTCTCGGGGCAGGGTCCCAAGTTCAGACCAGTCGCCCAAGCCCCCCCGCCTGGTGCAGCCCGGGGCCACGCTCCGCCACCCCCTCCCGGAGCTCAGCACCTCCCAGGCCTCGCGCACTGCCCTGGCCCCAGAGCGGGGCTGGATGCGCCCGGTGGCGGAGGAAGAGGGGCCAGGCCCTCAGCCGTCCATGGAGCCGCTGCCCTTGTTCTTGCGGCTCAGCGGGAAGGCCGACTTGCTCTGCGGCTGCGTCATCTTGCTGGCCAGGTAGGTGAAAGGCTCGATCAGGGTCCGCCGGTCGGCCACGGACACCTCCCACAGCTTCACCTTCTCGCCCTTGGCCCACTGCTGGGCCGCCTCGTGGTCCACGCGCCGCTGCTCCTGCAGGTCGCACTTGTTGCCCAGAATCACAATGGTGACCTGCACGAAGACGCGCCAACAGCACGAGCTCAGGTCTTGCTGGCCAGGTAGGTGAAAGGCTCGATCAGGGTCCGCCGGTCGGCCACGGACACCTCCCACAGCTTCACCTTCTCGCCCTTGGCCCACTGCTGGGCCGCCTCGTGGTCCACGCGCCGCTGCTCCTGCAGGTCGCACTTGTTGCCCAGAATCACAATGGTGACCTGCACGAAGACGCGCCAACAGCACGAGCTCAGGACCGGCTCCAGCCAGGCCCGGGGTCGCGGCTCCTGCGGATTTCCCCCTC